GAAGTAACAGGTCTGGGCATTCTCCGGTAAGCCAAGACCACGTGGAAACACAAAGATTTATAGAAATGGGTTAATGATTAAGACAGAGCTAGCCAATAAGAAGCCCTAGACATCGGCCAATAGTTTTACAATTAATATAGCAATATAGCGTCTGTGTGTTTATTTGGGGCTGAAGCGGCAGTGGTACCTGGTAGGACAAGAAACTGCAGCTACACTCAAGCTTTTGTCCCTAAAGCTGCCACGAGTTTTTCTCTCTTGCTTTCCCCACCCCAAGATCACCTGGGAGTTGCTTTGCTCTGTTTATTATACCTGGCCTTATTAATTTGACTGTGTTTGGTTTATTGCATTGGTGGAGAAACCCACTAGCCAGGATTTCAAAATATTTATCAAGGACTCCAGAACCCATGGGTTCCAGCTGGTCACCAACTGTAACTCAAAAAGGAACAAGATCTTGGACAGCCCAACCAGCTATGTCCACCATCATCATACATTTGAACTTCAAATAGATAATAACAAGTGTGATATTCCATGAGATACTTGTAATGTACTTTTTTTAGTTTTTAACATTTTTAGTATAAAGGACAGAGGCTTCAGGTGCTACAGGATGTACAGCAGCCTCTAGTGACCACCACAGACATTGCACTTATGTAGCTTGCATTCATACACACACAAATGCGAGCAAGCAAACAAGCAAGCAGGCAAGCAGGTAAGCGTGAGCACGTGCGTGCACGCACGCACACGGGTGCATGCACACACACACACGCATGCACGCACACACATGTGCATTCACAGGCATGCATGAATAAAGCTAATGGTTCTGGAGAGATGACTCCGTGACTAAGAGCACTGGCTGCTCTTCCAGAGGACTCAGGTTCAGTTGTCAACATGCACATGGTGGCTCACAACCATCTGTCACTCCAGTTCCAGAGGATCCAACACCCTTTTCTGGTCTCTATGGCCACTGCAGGTAGGTGGTGCACAGACATACATGCATGCAAAATGCCATAAAATGAAAATAAGCCAGGTGGTGGTGGTGGTGGCAGCAATACCTTTGATCCCAGCACTTGGGAGGCAGAGGCAGGCAGATCTCCAAGTTCAGGACCATTCTGGTCTACAGAGGGAGTTCTAAGATAGCCAGGGCTACACAGAGAAACTGTCTCAGAAACAAACAAAAAAACATGAAAATGCAAGTAAAATTTCAAAAAATTAAAGACAATGAGATTTATTATGACATTTCACACATGCATCATTGTACATCGTGCATATTTGACACCCCCACACTATTAGGAATGTATTTATACTCAACAACATTCCTTATCTAAAATTTTAACCAAGTGTCCTGCAGCCCCAGTAGAATTTTCAGTCCAGTTACACAGACAGGATGCTCTCAGATATGTGATCTAGTGCTCCACTGGCATCATTTCTGTGACTGGCGTTCTGCTTGCATCATTTCTGAGATTGGTGTTATGCATGCATCATTTCTGTGACTGATGCTGTGCATGCATCATTTCTGTGACTGGTGCTGTGCATGCATCATTTCTGTGACTGGTGCTGCACATGCATCATTTCTGTGACTGGTGCTGCGCATGCATCATTTCTGAGATTGGTGCTGTGCATGCATCATTGCTGTGACTGGTGCTGCGCATGCATCATTTCTGTGACTGGTGCTGTGCATGCATCATTTCTGAGATTGGTGCTGTGCGTGCATCATTTCTGTGACTGGTGCTGTGCATGCATCATTTCTGAGATTGGTGCTGTGCATGCATCATTTCTGAGATTGGTGCTGCAATGCATCATTTCTGTGACTGGCGTTCTGCTTGCATCATTTCTGTGATTGGTGTTATGCATGCATCATTTCTGTGATTGGTGCTGCACATGCATCATTTCTGTGATTGGTGCTGCACATGCATCATTTCTGAGATTGGTGCTGCACATGCATCATTTCTGTGACTGGTGCTGCGCATGCATCATTTCTGTGATTGGTGCTGCGCATGCATCATTTCTGAGATTGGTGCTGCACATGCATCATTTCTGAGATTGGTGCTGTGCATGCATCATTTCTGAGATTGGTGCTGTGCGTGCATCATTTCTGAGATTGGTGCTGCGCATGCATCATTGCTGTGACTGGTGCTGTGCATGCATCATTTCTGAGATTGGTGCTGTGCATGCATCATTTCTGAGATTGGTGTTATGCATGCATCATTTCTGAGATTGGTGCTGCGCATGCATCATTTCTGTGACTGGTGCTGTGCATGCATCATTTCTGAGATTGGTGCTGTGCATGCATCATTTCTGAGATTGGTGTTATGCATGCATCATTTCTGAGATTGGTGCTGTGCATGCATCATTTCTGTGACTGGTGCTGTGCATGCATCATTTCTGAGATTGGTGCTGTGCATGCATCATTTCTGTGACTGGTGCTGCACATGCATCATTTCTGAGATTGGTGCTGTGCATGCATCATTTCTGTGACTGGTGCTGCGCATGCATCATTTCTGTGACTGGTGCTGTGCATGCATCATTTCTGTGACTGGTGCTGTGCATGCATCATTTCTGTGACTGGTGCTGCACATGCATCATTTCTGAGATTGGTGCTGCGCATGCATCATTTCTGAGATTGGTGCTGCATATGCATCATTTCTGAGATTGGTGCTGCATATGCATCATTTCTGAGATTGGTGCTGCGCATGCATCATTTCTGTGACTGGTGCTGCACATGCATCATTTCTGTGACTGGTGCTGCACATGCATCATTTCTGAGATTGGTGCTGCGCATGCATCATTTCTGAGATTGGTGCTGCATATGCATCATTTCTGAGATTGGTGCTGCATATGCATCATTTCTGAGATTGGTGCTGCGCATGCATCATTTCTGTGACTGGTGCTGCACATGCATCATTTCTGTGACTGGTGCTGCGCATGCATCATTTCTGAGATTGATGCTGCGCATGCATCATTGCTGTGACTGGCGTTCTGCTTGCATCATTTCTGTGACTGGTGCTGTGCATGCATCATTTCTGTGACTGGTGCTGTGCATGCATCATTTCTGTGACTGGTGCTGTGCATGCATCATTTCTGTGACTGGTGCTGTGCATGCATCATTTCTGTGACTGGTGCTGTGCATGCATCATTTCTGTGACTGGTGCTGCGCACACATCATTTCTGTGATTGGTGCTGTGCATGCATCATTTCTGTGACTGGTGCTGCACATGCATCATTTCTGAGATTGGTGCTGCACATGCATCATTTCTGAGATTGGTGCTGCGCATGCATCATTTCTGTGACTGATGCTGTGCATGCATCATTGCTGTGACTGGTGCTGCGCATGCATCATTTCTGTGACTGGTGCTGCGCATGCATCATTTCTGTGACTGGTGCTGCGCATGCATCATTTCTGTGACTGGTGCTGCGCATGCATCACTTCTGAGATTGGTGCTGCGCATGCATTGTTTGCGAGATCTGGTGCTCTACTGCATTGTTTTAACTTTTTTTTTTTTTTGGTTTTTAAGAGACAGGTTCTCTGTATTGTTTTGGAGGCTGTCGGTCCAGCCCGGCCTTGAACTCACAGAGATCCGCCTGCCTCTGCCTCCCGAGTGCTGGGATTAAAGGCGTGCGCCACCACCGCCCAGCGCATAGTTTTAACTTTTTAAGAATGTGATCTCAAGTTCTCAAGGAAAGTTGTCTAAGGTTGCCTGTGGGCTGCCTGTTTGATGTCAGCATGGTGACTAGAGGTAGAGTATCTGTGTGGAAGGGAGGAGCTGAGAATGCAGCTGTTTCCTTTCTACCTCAGCTGAAGGAAAAGGACAATTGGAGGCAATCTCTCAAAAAGCATCAAATGGTCTAGAGCCATAAATGTTTGATGGTTGTTATATTTAGTTCTGAATCCACTGTGTTAGGAATTTACAAATGTCTTAGTCAGCGTTGCTATAGCTGTGAGGGAACACCCTTAAAGGCGTGGGAATCAAGATTCACTAGCCTCTGTACAGGTGAACTGAAGTTTATTCGGGGAGCTTGCACTTACACAGGAAACAAATGACCGCGGTGGGTTCCCACTCCAAGGATGCTGACCCTGCCACCCGGATGCTCTCCACAACCGCACAGAAAGCTAGAGAAATCTTTGAGCCCCAAACGTAATCCTTATCACCGGTCATGTCTGCACCTGTGATCATGCCCAAACTTCCACACCACTGTTCATCACTGAAAGAAGTCAGGATAGGAACTCAAACAGGGCAGGAACCTGGAGACAGGAGCTGATGCAGAGGCCATGGAGGGTGCTGCTTACTGGCTTGTTCCCCATGGCTTGCTTAGCCCAGGGATGACATCACCCACCATGGCTGGGCCCTCCCCAATCAAATCGCTGATTAGGCAAATGCCCTATAGCCAGGTATTATGAAGATATTTCTTAGTTGAGGCTCCCTCCTCTCCAGTGACTGTGTCAAGTTGACCCAAAACTAGCCAGCACAAGTATATGTGAAGTTAGTAAGTGGAGCAAAGGGCCATTTAATATCCTTTTGTTTTTCTTCCTCGGTCCTTTTAGTTGAACGTTTCTCCTTCGGTGTTACTGTTCTACCTCCACTCAACAAATGTCTGAGAAAACTTCTCTGTACGTATTCCAGCACTGAGAATGTTGTCTGGGTATACTTCTGAGAGATGGGGAGGCTGTAGTTTTAGAAAAAAATGTTCAGGGTATGGGTTCCTTGAGAGAGTATGTGTAAAATAGGATCGCACGGTCTGTTTTTCCAAACTGGGGTGACGACTGAATACGAAAATGCATGGGTTTGTAAAGTCTTCCACAGGGAAGGCTGACTTGAGCGCTTGCAGTAATGGGGTCACATTCTAGGCGGAACAGAACGTTGATCCCCGAGGAAGCTGCAAGGCAGGACCGCTGCGCATGGGCAGAACCTCGTCAGGTCTGGCCTGCTTCCCCCCCCAACCCTCGTTTAGTTTCTATAGCAACCACGCAAGCCCAGTGGGCTGGTCGCGGAAAGGGTGCGTCCAGGGGCGGGGCTTGCGGCGGAAGCGGCGTCCGCACGCTCGGTGCGGGGCCGGCTGCAGAGATGCTGCGTGCGTGGTGGCTGCGGCTGTGTGCCGCGTTCTGCTGCCTCCTGCTGGGGCAGGCCCAGGCCCCGAGCCCCGGGTTGCCGCCGGAGCGGAGCCGGCCCTACGCGGTGCTGCGTGGGCAGAACTTGGGTAAGCGCGGAGGGGCGGGCGCGGTGCGCGTTTGTAGCCTGAGCCGGGTACCAGGAACTTGCCAGGGGCTTGGGAGCTGTCCTCTCGCTGGTCCTCACGAAGCCGGTTTTCCGCTGTCAGCCCCAGGCTTGGGAGCCAGCGCTTGTTCCCTGTGTGCTGGCGGCACCTGCTGGAACTGGAAGCTGCGGCCTGGGTTTGTGCGCTCGTGTCCATGCGCTCATGTCCGCCTCTGTGGATTCAGGCTAGGCAGCAGGGCTCATCCAGCACGCATCCCTCTTCCTACCACATAGTCCCGTTCTCAGTGATGGCGTTTGTAATCGCCACGCTTTAGCATTTCCTACTCACCCTGTGTTGTGCTCAGCGCTGTTTACTTGTGTGTGTGTGTGTTTGGCGCGCGCGCGGGGGGGATGGGATCTTCATTGTAAGCTAATGAGAAAAGTAAGACTTTTCAATCCTGTTTTAACGGAAAAAGAAAATGAAGCCCAAAGGTAAAGTTATGTTAATCAGGGACACGCGGGTAGGGCGTGGCGAATGCCAGTATTTGAGTCTGGGGTTTGTGGGGCTTGAAACAACTTTGAGTAGTATCTGTTACATACATGCCCCCACATAGGAGGGCATGGCCCGAAAGGAGCTCTAGTGCTTAATACTGGGCAAACCAGGGTAAATCTGTCTGTCCTGCCTCTGGCCCCCCTTCCTACCTCATTAGTACATCTGTGTATTTGAATTGGGTGACCACCTGGTAGCGTTCTGAATTGTCTATCTGCTTGTTTTCTCCCACGTTTTAACCACTTTGGAGATTTCCAGCCTAATCCTTTAGACCTGGATTTGTCAGCCTGGAGACTACTGATACCTTAGATCATGTGATTTTTACTTATTTTAAAGCTGGAGGGATGGGGAGAGGCTGTCCTGAGCACAGGAGGATGTTTAGGAGCCGTCCTTTATCCTCTGGATGCAGTCACACCCGACACTTGTAGTCCACATAATCAAAATGTTTCCACTCCTAACAGACCAGCAAGCTGAGGATGCTCCCAAACTGTATGACCTGCAAAAACAATAACTGCAGAAATAGTGTTAATGAAAGTTGACTTTGTAACATTGCAACATCCAAGCAGGTAGCGTGTCTGTAGTGGATGCTTGGAGGTGGCCTGTTTAGTAATCATGCATACATCCAGAGGTCTGGAACAAAGTAGAAGTAACTGTTCTTTACCACCTGGAGGTTAAGAAATGCAGCCCCAGGCAGTTGAAGGCAGTGGTATTTTTGTCTCTGATTTCATGAACAAGGATACAGAGAAGTTGGGTACTTGTAGGAAGTACGGAACCCAGGCAGTCCGACCCCAAACCCTGAGCTCTTCACTTCCCTGACTGCTGCCGGTCTTGACCTCAAGTGAAGTGTTCACCTGTCTGCACCTGCTGTATGTATGCCCAGCACTTGGTTGAACACTTTTGAAGGTAATCCATAGTTGAGCTTCAAGGAATCCTTTTAACTGGATTTTCATTTGTCCCACTTTGTTGATGGGGAACATGAGGCTCAGTGATGGAGAGTGACCACGGGATGGAGTTAAAATCATCTTATAAAGCTGGGTGGCGGTGGTGGTGGTGGCGGCACACACCTTTAATCCCAGCACTCGGGAGACAGTGGCAGGTGGATCTCTGAGTTCAAGGCCAAGCCTGGTCTACAGAGTGAGTTCCAGGACAGACAGGGCTACACAGAGAACCCTGCGTTGAAGAAAAAAATTATTTTAAGGTAACCAGAACCAATCTGGTTACTGATGTGTCCTGCACGAGAGGTGAGTACAAGGATGATGGAGGAGCTTATGAGCTCCAAGTAGATATTAATCCAAATGATGTTGTGCACCTAGCATATGTCTTTAATTAAAGCTTTTTCCTTTCTCCTTTGTTTGGATTTGTGTGTGTGTGTGTGTGTGTGTGTGTGTGTGTGTGTGTGTGTGTGTGTGTGTTTTCAATGTTCAATGAGGCCAGAATTGGGTATCTTATCCCCTGGAACTAGAGTTATGGGTATGGTGTGCTGGGTCCAGTATGGGCTCTGAGTCTTTGTTTAACACCATCTTGGTCTTAGATGAGCTAAATGCCGTATCTTCAGATAGCCCAGATCAACTAAATACCTGGCCAGATTGTCAAAAGTCTTGAATTTCCAAGCCAGGGCGTTGGTGGTGCACACCTTTAATCCCGGCACTCGGTAGGCAGAGGCAGGCGGGTCTCTGTGAGTTCCTTTTTCCCTGTCACCAAGAAGAGAAGCTCTTTGTGTGTAAGAACTGGACTAAGAGGATGTGATGGGGTAGCGGTGGAGCAGGCACAGATGCTCTGAAACAACGGCCTTGAAAGTCGTCAGGTGGCTTTTCAGAGACCTGGACCTCAACCAGCACAACCAGAGTCAAGCCTGCTGGAGCCTGGCATGGGCTCACACTCTTGGAACTAAAGGTTTATGAATGCTCCTTCACTTATTAAACGTCACAGCATTTTGAATGTCACAGAAACTTGCTGCTGCTGAGTGAAGCAAGTGGCTTCCATTAGTGCCCTAAAGTCCTGTCCCTCCAGGCTGAGTCCACTTGTACATCCACTTCTTCCCTGAGCTCATAGAATGTTCTAGACATGAACTTACCCTCACAAAACACAACTGGGGGCTGAAGAGACAGCTCAGCAGTCAGAACATCAGCAGCTCTCGCAGAAGCCCTGGGTTTGATTCCCAGGACTCTCATGCCAGCTCGAACTTTTGTAACCCTAGTCCCAGGGATTCTGACCCTATCCCCTTGGGACCTCTGCAGGCACCAGCATCCATGTGGTACACAGGCATATGTGTAGGCAAAACACCCACACACAAAAGATGTTTTAAAACACAATTCGGGCCTGGAGAGATGGCTTGTAGGTTAAGAGTGCTTCCCACTGTTCCAGACCTGAGTTTGATTCCCAGCATTCACTCAGTGGCTCACAACCTCCAGTAATTCTAGTTCCAGGGGTCCAGTGTCTCATCTGGTCTCTGCAGGGACCTGTACACACACAGCACACACACTCATCTTTACACACACACACAGTTGAGTCAGCAAGATGGTACAGCAGGTAAAGGTGCTTGCTGCTAATCCCAGAGACCTGGATTTGATCTCTGGGACACATATTGAAGGGAGCAGACTCCTGAAATTGTTCTTTGACCCCTGTGCATGCACAGGCACATACAAAAATACAAGTTTTTAAAGTTTTTGCTCTTTTCAAGGCAGGCTTGCAGAGTTATGGCGTTTTGGTGAGAAGCCCCTTGTCAGGATTCATCCAGCCACTGAACTGGCTTATTTATCAAATCTCCAGGCAAGATGGATGGGCCCCGGCTCTCATCTCCTGTAGTCTCAGGCAGAATCTAGAGGACCTTATTCCTCAACTAACCAGATCACAATGGTCCTTGCCTTCCAAAGGCCTTTCTTAACATTTAGTGGCAGATGGACCTGGCAGATGCCTCAGTAAGAGCGCTTGGTCTGCAAGCCTGAGGACCTAAGTTCGAGTCCCTAGCACCCACACAAAGAGCTGCACATGGCTGCTTGGGGCGGTAACCCCAGCATTAGGGGACAAAGAACTTGTCAACTGCTCAGCTAACCCAGCCCAAACTAGCCAGTTTCAGGTTCAGTGGGAGACCCTCTGAAGGCAGTAAGGTGGAGGGCGATAGAGGAAGAGACCTGACTCTTGTGTTGGCCCTGCAAACACATGAACGGGGTGGACACTTGCACATTAGTGAGCAATCAGTCTCGCTTCTTTGGTTGTCTGCACGGCCCTGTGTTCCCTGGCTTGCCTCCTGCTTCTCAGTGTGCCTTCTGTGATACCAGCCTGACTGCTTGCCGCATGTGCTGGGCTTGTTCTGGTGCCCAAGGCCCTTGCTTTGCTGACCCCTCAGTTGCTCCGCCCCCTCCTGTCTGCTGTTGCCCAGCCTCGTCTGTCATATTGGGATTCTTCCTGGACTCAGGCTATAAGAAGAACCTCACATTTACTTTCCCGTATCTGTGGGGTGACTTGAGGAAGTGCCTATTATGGCTAGTTCTGGCACCCAGCCCAGTAAGTACCCTTGGTTCCGGTAGCAATTGGAAAAGCGCTGTCTCTTAATGAAATCATGGAGCCTGGAGTGTGCACGAGGTAACCTGTTTTCCCTTTGCAGTGTTGATGGGGACCATTTTTAGCATCCTGCTGGTGACCGTCATCCTTATGGCATTTTGTGTCTACAAGCCCATTCGTCGCCGGTGACAGCTACGCAAGATCATCGTGCTTCAAGTTTCTGAAACAGCATAAGTTGTGTTGCATGTGAGCCACTGGAGATGGTGGGATCAGAACATCTAGGAAGTGACCACTGATCTGGACGGGTGGTAAATGCTACAGGTTAGAAAAGCATCTAGCAGTAATTGTTTCCCTAACATCGGTTATTGGCAACTGAGTCAGAGTCTCAGTATTTGTTTTTGTTTGGCTGTGCTGGTTAAAAGTAAAGCCTGGAGCTCCAAGGTTCCCTGTAAAATGTGTCCATTTCCAAGTGTGCAGAAGAACCACGCTGGAGGACTAATCACTGATGCTCGAAATAGTAAGGAAGACTTAACATGTAGACATCCCCTGCTTTCAACCATTCTGTCACGGTGTGTTAGTCACACATGGGGGCCAGCAAGATGGCTCAGCAGGTAGAGAGGCTTGCCACTGAGCCTGATAACCTGAGTTTAGTTCCTGGAAGTCACATGGTGGAAGGAAAGAACCGACTTCGCAGGTTCTCTGACCCCCACACCCGAATAAATATAAAAACAGCCCACATTTCCACTCTCCTGGTTGGAGAGCCAGTGTTCACTGTGGGGAACTGAGGCCATCATTCCTTACCTGCATCTGTGCTGTACTTGAGTCCCCAAAGCTGAACCAGAATTGTATCCTAGGCCTGTAGTCGTGCCCCCTTGGCCTGGAAGGCTCTGGGTTGGACTGGGAATGCTACTGTCTATCAGAAGAACGACTCCACCTGACTCACGGTTAGCTGTCCTTCTCACCCACAGCCTGAAGTTTTTGGTAGCTTTCCAAACGGGAGCCTGAGAGACTTAGCTCTCCCTCTTCTCCCTGGTGTAGAGGGGTCATCCATGTGTCCATTGTGCAGGCTGCTGTGTTTACAGGACTGACAGCTCTCAAAGTGCTGCTACTGAACTAGATTTCCCCTGTTGATACTTTTCATAGTTATAGAGTGGCTATCAGTATTTATTTGAAAGATCTAGATTTAATTTTGTTATAATGTTGTTGTAACGTTTAATCTTGTGTTCCCTGCAAGCACAGCACTGGTCTTTTTTGTTTCATAATCTAACGTGTACTTGATTTGAATTAACTGAGGAGCACTGTAACTTTTGGGGTCTTGACCTTGTAACACTGAGCCATTAAAATGTCCAAATTAAAGAGAAACCTGTCTGCTCTTTTATTCATCATCATGTTCCCAAGTGTTTACAGTCAGGGGTAGAGCTGTACTGAGTGCATGGGTTAGTAGAGAACCCAGGTTTGGTTCCCAGGACCCAGGTGGTAGCTTACAACCAACCTCCTGTAAGTCCAGTTCCAAGGGTCTGATACCCTCTGCTGACCTCTGGTGGACCAAGGATACATGTAGTGAACAGACATCAGAGGCATAGTCTTTTAAAAACTTTAATGCAGGTGTGGTGTGGTGTGGTGTGGTGTGATGTGGTTTGAATCTGGCCTCATTCGTTTAAGGAAGACCTGTGCAGTGGAATTTAAACTCGTATGTGAAATAGTAAGGCTGAGCTAGACTCACTCTCAGGCTGGGACAGCAGTCCTGCATCTTTGTTCAAGGCCAGCTATAAGGAGCCTCAGTTTCCTTATCAGCAGTAATGCTGACTCCTGGGTGATGTAAAATACTGAAATGTAGAGGACATGGCCACAGCCGGGCTGCTGTCCCCAGGAGTTCCAGGTTATTGCCTGATAGATCCATGTTCAGTCCCACTTGATGGACAGCCTGTTTTGATGTGCCACTATACTACTTGTTGCATTTTTAAGATTTTAACAGAGTACCTTGCCAAGCCTATAATGTTCATTATTGCTCTTGGCTTGCTGACAACCAGTAGGCCGCTGCAGACATGGATGAGTCCCAGGGCAAAGAATTAGACCAGAGACACCTGGTTAGAAATGGCAGTTGTGGGGCTGGAGAGATGGCTCAGCAACTAAGAGCATGTATTGCTCTCCCAGAGCTGATTCCCAGCATCTACGTCAGGCAGCTCACAGCTGCCTCTACTGCTGCTGTAGGGAGCCCCTGGCTTCTAAGAACACTAACATTCATGCACGCCTTCCCTCCTCAGACACACGATTATGTGTTTAAGACAAATTTCCAGGCCTGGTGGTGCACACCTTTGATCTCAGCACTCACAAGGCAGACGCAGATGTTCTCTCACCAATCAGGGCTACACAGATGGATCCTGTCCCACATAAATAGCTTTTTGAAAGGGAATGCAAGGCTGTAAGGAATGGTGCTCACATATGTAGCCACTGAACACATGACCAGTCCAAACCACACAGCTGCTAGCAAACTTTTTTAATGTGTATATGTTTATTCATTAATCTATTCAAGTTTGAAGCACCTGTCTCTTAAAATTGGGTTTGTGTCCTCATGCTGCTTGAGGTCTGGGGACTCTGGAGCGCTAGTCACACAGCTTCTAGCTGGACTTCAGTCTTAAACCCACACCCACTTCTAGACCCAGGGCTAGGTAGTACTTTACCCTCCATCACTTACTGTCCCATGGTCACTTAAAAGTTTCTACAGTCCAGTCCATCTCCCTTGATGTCATCATGGTCAGGAGGAGCCTGAGGCCAAGCTGCTGCCTATGTGTTCCTGTCACTATTCAAAGCCAACTTTCCCTCCACACTTCACTTTGTGTAGCATGACAAGACTGGACAGTGTCTCGGAAACCTGCACTCAGTGCCGGCAGTGCTCCCAGGTAGAAGTGACTGGAGCGTGAGCCGTGGTGAACCGCGCAGTGTGAAGTAGTCCTTAGACCGCACACACCGTGGCCTGTAAGGGGGTGTTCATGATGCCTGTGGCTCAAGTTCTGCTTACTCCCCAAAGGCAGCTTCCCTTCCCTCCCCAAAGGCAGAGCCCCTTCTAGAACCCCAACACCGTCATCCAGCCACGGCCTTTTTCTTTTAAGGCCCCAATTTTCACTTGAATATCTTAATAGCCCCCCAGCACTCTGGCTTCCAGGATCAGTGGTGCTGATGTTGGCCCATTTGCTCTTCTTTTGAGAAGGTGCACGTGCAGCACTGGATGCTTTTCATTTATTTCCACCTGGCACAAGCTGTGAGGAGTGTTGCCTGTGCCCTGGGCAGGAAGGCTGGGGCAGGCACTGGACAGGGAGTGCGTGTCCTCCAGTGACAAGAGGAAGCACTGCGGAAGAGACAGGACTCTGGCTGTCAGGACTCAGCACCTTCGGTGGAAGCGTATTTATTTGCCTTTTAAGATAGAACACATGGGGAAAGCTGCAACAATGCTCAGTCCCTTTTTAGGTGACTGCCTGGGGACACAGACTTCAGGAAACGGAGCAATGGAATGCAGACACAGGGTTCATCTTAGTGAGTAAACACGGCCCAGTGCAGCCATTCCTGCCAGTGTCTTTGCTCCTAGCGAATGCCAAGTAAACAGACCACCAAGCTGAGTACAAATGTGATGGCCATGCTGGCCTTATATACAGGGAAGGAATCTGGTTAGACCACAAGAGGCCATGAGGAATTAAAATCACAATTCTTTTTGTCTAAGAACATTTTACTGGCAACACTGACTGTATCGAACAGACATTTCTGGGGACTGTGAATTCTTTTCCTGTCCCCAGAAGTGTAACAGGAAACAGAAGCAAAAACGGGAAGGTATTATTACCATGTGATCGGCGCAGCCTGTGGGGGTGAATGCCTGCACCAGGTGAGAGGCGCAAGGTGCCCTTGGCTGATTCCCCAGGGGCAGTCTGTTATGCAATAGGTATTTACAGGAGGGTTAGACAAAATAGTTAACTACTAAACGTATTCAAAAAAGGCCTGAGAAAATCTGGTTAAAATGCATAACCTTGTATTGCTACTGATGGGAGTAGTCATTTTTATATCTTTTAAAAATAATAAAAAGATTCTGTTAAAAAATATATTTATCCAGAAAGATGTTGATTTGAACTCTAAAAAGCAATGAGGAGTCGTCACTTTTCCCTTTTGAATGAAGAACCTCTACTCCATGTGAGCTCCCTTCTGGTTTCAAGTCCATCCTGTCCTCTCTAACGATGCTAGGCCATGCGCTGGCTCTCCTGCGGTAGGAAATCCTTCACCGGAGCGGGCACCGCCACGGTGGCTAGGTTCTCTGCTGTCCAATGGTTTGGTCAGCTTGCCGGTCATGAGAACCAGCCTTGGATTCCCCTAGCTGCCCCTAAGGACAGGATTAGCTGCCTTCGGTTTAGCCTGGAGGATGCTGCTCCCAAAGGAACTACCTTTATGGACTGAAGTCAGGTCCTCAGCGTGTGGAGTGAGGTGACTTAAAACTATTAATTTTTAAGGCTAAGGCAACATCTGTAGTCATCTGTATATCTTAATTTGATGCAAATAGTTAGCCATAATCTAAAATAGATCCTGTACATATCCTCTTAGCTGGGGTAAAGGGCATGGAACAGGGCAGAGATGGGGAGGAGTAACGGCCATGTCCTAGGAACCCTGGCAGAAGGGAAAATGAAGAGGGCAGCAGAACCCGTTTCTTTGGTGAACACTCTACAAAGGCTGCTGCTCTCGTGTAGAAAAGCACCCTGACTCTGCAGTAACTGCTACCATGTCTGATTAAGATGTATCTACTAACTGCAGGGCTTGGCGTCTCTGTCTAAAGCTGGTAGTAAAAATGTGACCTGCAAGCCAGGACAGCTAAATGGAAGAAGGTGACGATGCTCTCCTCCCTGCAGCCTGGAGATGGGGCCTGCCAATGCTCCCCTCCTCCACTCTGGGGAGTTCCTGGTCCTGCACCAAGGAAGGGGCAGCTGCTGTCTGCAGGAAGTGTAGGCCCTCTGTCTAGGGTCTCAGCTGATGAAGCACTCCCATGCAGCCCAGAGCAGCCCCTGGACAGAAATGTCTATTTCTCAGTGAGTGACAGCTGCAAGACTTGCTGGAGTTCAGCTTCTTCCTCCTGGAGCCGTAGCTCCTGCTCCGCCAGCTCTTTGGCAGACAGCTCCATGGCCAGCTGCAGGTCGCTATCAAAACGGCTCGACTCACTGAGGGCACCTGGGCACGGACCTTCCATGGTGGTTAGGAGGCTCTCCTGGATGGCCCTAGGGTGGGAACGGGACAGAGTTATTCCTATCCTGGAGGTGGCAGCAAGTACATCCTTAGTGATTACCAAGCAGTCCTGATGCACGATGCTGCTGGGCCTATGTGACTGCATCACCCAGTGCTAAGCCATGAATGGAACTCTGGTCTGTTGGAAAGCACAGCTGAGGTGCTTGCCCTCCAGTGCTCACACATGCCTCACATGGGAAAAGGAGGCACTACTGCAGTTCCCACCACATCCGTAGCTCCTCCCCAACCACCTTTAACCACATATATCCTCACCCAGCCAGACCTGCAATCTCACATTCACAGAAGACCAAGCAGTCAGAAACCATTTACCCAGCGCTTCACTGGGAGCAGCCCTAACCTGTGAAGCAGTCGGCACTCGGTTCAGAGCTGGTTTGATGAGTAACCACGGTGAGAAGAACCAGGAAAGCGGACTCTAAAACCTGCCACTGAGCGCAGCCACACAGGTGCCTGGTATCAAGTGCCCGTGCCAACCCAGGTTTGACAAAAGCCATATCAGGACAAGTCCCATAGTTACCTCTCATACTGGGCTTCATAGCTGTGGGTGGGGCTGATCCCTCCATTTGATGCTGGTCCTGAAAGGTCCTGGAAAAAATAAAGGATGGCATCAACACCTCATAGGAGGAATGGCTGCCAAAATTAACAAAATGTACAGTATTTACAACGTGTCACTGACTGCCGTGCGGATGCTCACAGCAACTGTCAGGTACCATATGGTACAGGGCATCAGTAATTACCACCTTCTCAGATTTTATATAGTTCTAGTCTTGAACCACTATCCCAGGGCAACAGTCAAATCGAATCAAGGCAGGGCCTGCTTTAAAGATAAACTGAGAAGACATAGTTCGGTGTGTGTTGACCTAGACTCTAGCTATTGCCCTCATCAATAGTTACCACGGTTTTATAGCTATTGGGAGAGCAAAGCTAAGCTCATTTGCACATGAAGAGGAAGCACTGACAGTTTTGTCTAGGGGTTGGGTCTTCCCAAAAGCAGATGATAGCCCAGCTGCCAAAATAGTAAATAACCAACACCACCCTACCCATCCCCACCCCCAAATGAGGGCTGGAGAGATGGCTCAGTGTTGAAAAGC